TACTCTGTTTCTGCGAATCACAAGGCTGCTGAGATCTGGAAGCTGGATGTGGTTGCGGCCCTTGCAGCCTCGCCTGAGGCATCGTCAACATGCTTCAACACTGGAGATGTTGGGCAGGTACTGGCCCTCCATTGTCCACAAATCTGTGCAGTCCTGCATCAAAGGGGCCTGGCCGCTGTACCGAGGATTGCCCTGGACGGCTGCCGACCGGCCTTGCCGAGGTGCTTGCTGGAACTGCTGGGCGAGACCCTGCTCGATGCGCAGCCCGCGCTCAAGGGCGGGAGCCTCCTCCACTGGCCCCAGGACCCCGAGCTGGCCTCCCTCCTCATCGCGCCCGATCGCTACCCCGTGGCGGGTGACCTGGAGGAGGAGCCCCAGGAGCTGGGCGAAGACTCGCTGGTCCAGCCCGCGGTTCCGCCGCTCTCAGCGGACGCCCCTGGCTGAGGCCCCTGTGGCCGCGGCGGCGCGGCGGCGCGCCGGCCGGCGCCTCGTCTCGCTGGCGGAGAGGGTGCGGGTGGCAGGGGGGCCCAGGGCGCCGCTCAGGCGGGCGTGCGGCCGCGCGGCCGCTTGCATGCGTTGTTGCCTCCTCGGGGTTCGCTCCCCTTGGCACGGGAGAGAGAGAGAGAGAGAGAGATGAGGAGGAGGAGGAGGAGGAGGAGGAGGAGGAGGAGGAGGAGGAGGAGAAGGAGGAGGAGGAGGAAAGAGGAGAAGGATGGGGAGGAGGAGGAGGAGGAGGAGAATGAGGAGACGGGGGAGATGATGTCATATTATCCTTCCTCTTCGTTTCTCCTCCTTCCTGTACGCCTGTCCCTTCTTCACTGCTACCACACGTGAAAACACGTGCACCGCGGGTGGCCCTTGGAGCGGTGCTCCAGAGGCCACCTGGCCCTGGTTTGATCAACCCCACCAGGGCCGAGCGGCCCGGCGGGGGGAAGGCTCCGTCAGCAGGACCATGGAGCCACCAAGAGCCACGAAGCAGATGGAGGAGGAAACAGATGACGAGGAGGAGGGCGGTTCGTGGGCTATTCTTGGTCTACGCTAGGGCCGTCGGGGGCCTTCTGCGAAAGGGGCCCAGACCAGCGTGAAGGGGCCCTGGGGCGCACAACTAAATACACACAAATAAAAGGATTCCCCATATTTTCCCATATGTTCTGGGTTTCTGTCTTCCCCCCCACTTCCCATATTTTCCCATATTTTCGGGGGAATCGAAGATTAATTGTGTCTGTGTGTTTTTTCCTCTCCTGACAGTGGCGGCCAGGAAGACGGTGCCCCAGTCCTCCTCGCAATGCGGCGGCGGCGCCTGGGGAGACCCGAAGAGCCCCGGGGAATCCTGGGCAGCTTCGAGGGCCGCAGCCCCTGAGGAGGCAGCCAGTGGCCGCATCTTTAGGGAACCCACAAATGAAGAGGCCGTGGGGCACACTAATCAATCGACACAATGTCAAAGGATTCCGAATATTTTCCGATAATTTCTGGGTTTCTCTCTTCCCCCCCACTTCCTACATTTTCCCATGTTTTCTGGGGAATCGACGATTCATTGTGTCTGTGTGTTTTTTTCCCCTCCTGACTTCAGGGAGCCCACAAAGCACGCAGGCGCCCAGCCACGTATACGAGTACGGCCTCCTGGTCCGCGAAGCCAGCCTCGCGATGCGAGCGGTCGCGGAAGGCGCACTCGCTCCTGAACCGCGGAGGTCTGAATGGGCGGGGGGCCGGCTCAGAGGGGGCAAACATCCGCCTGGAATCGGTGATGCAGCGCCGACAGCTCGGCGATGGCCCCCCGATGTCGACTGCGCACGGGCCTGGGCAGGTCTGGAGACCTCCGGCTCCGACCAGCACTCGATGGGCCATCGGGGGTCGATGGGTTCCCCCCTGGGCCAAGACAGAGAGGGCAACTCCTTCGATCCTAGGAGACGCGGCCCTTTCTGGAACGCCTCACAGAGCACGAACCCAACCCCATACACGGTGACACCAGCGCGGAGATCTCGAACCCAAGCTGGACGTGGAGACCACGAGGGAGGCGATGACGGCGGCGATGGTCTCGGACTTTGTGGGCCCCGGAAACGGCAGGGCCGTTTTTTCACCGTTTCCAAAAAAACCCTTGAAAATGGAAGCAGCAAAAAAACGGCAACCAGAAACGGCAAAAAAACGGCTCCAGGATTGGAGCCCGAACCGGAACCGGTAGAAAAACGGCCCTGTCGTTTCCAGGGCCCACTAAGGTCTCGGACGCCCCGTGCATCGTTCCACCTGGAAGGAGCGGCGACCCTCCGTCGAGACAGCTCCTTCGCTGCCGGCCGACGCTGGGCCACCTGCGGCCCTCGACCAGGCACGCCCGCGGTGCGGCCACCGCCGCGGCCACGCGGTGCGAGCCCCCACCGAACACTGTCCCCGGTGTCCCCGGCTGGGGCCCGGAGGAGGGAGCCCCGCGCAGCCCCGATCCGGGGGAGGCCGAAAGTCAGCGACTACACAATGTGATTACAATGGGTGCGGTTCGCGAAGGGTGCGGCTTGCCTCCAGTCTTATCTGCCCCTCCCGCCCCCGGGAAACGGATGACACTGTCACTCAATGCGACCGAATCACATGACACTGTCGCTCCTTCTAGTACAGTGGAGCACACATCGAGGATGACAGTGTCGCTCGAAACGATGACAATTATGACATTGTCTCTCACAAAGGCCCCGGAAAGGCCGCCACAAAGCAACTCGCAAAGCGCACCCTGGCGTAACCGCACCGATTGTAGTCGCCGAAAAAAGGTACAAAATACCGCTGCTCCCCCGGACCTCTCCCGGGCTGCGCTCTGACCACCACTCCGCGAGGAGAACCTGGCCGTGGCCACGAGGGCCCGCTGGAACGAACAGCGGCATCGGTACCCAGCCCTCCCCAGAGATCCACGCGCGCCTCCTGGCCGTCCCTGTCCAGCAGCTGGCTGCCGCGGCGCGCGAACGGCACCTCTTCCCAGGGAGCCCCGTGCCGCCGTGCCGCGGGGCTCGGCGCCGCCGCCGCCGTCGTGGTTGGATGCATTATCGCCGCAAACGTGGTCGACACTGTCGTCGTCGTCGTCGTCGTCTTCAACGTCGTCGTCGTCGTCGTCGTCGTCGTCGTCGTCGTCATTGTCGTCCTCGTCGTCGTCGTCGTCGTCGTCGTCGTCGTCGTCGTCGTCATTGTCGTCCTCGTCGTCGTCGTCGTCGTCGTCGTCGTCGTCGTCGTCGTCGTCGTCGTCGTCGTCATCGTCATCGTCATCGTCCTCGTCGTCGTCATCGCCTGACCAATGCTGCTCTCAGAATTGGCCCCCGGACCCCTCCCACTGGACCCCTCCTTGGGTCCAGCCTGGACGCCTCCTCAGGCTACAGCAGGTGGTGACGGGGAAACCCACGGACATCCGACAAACTTCGCAGCAAAGGAGTCGACACAATCTTTTTCGGCGGCGTCGTTGTAGACGCCGTCGTCGTCCCAGAGCGAAGGCGTCGGCGGCATTGTCGTGGACGTCGACGTGGCGGGTCAAAAGGGGGCAGCATCGTGCCGACGGGCACGAGGGCACCAGCAGGCGGCGGAGGGGGCGGCACGCACGACGCCGAGGAGGCGCCAGCTATGGGCTGCACTGCCCATGCAGTCGAACTTTGGCCTTGAAGAGCCCTGGGGTAACCTAACTACTCAGCTGCCCGGTGGGCAGCAAGCGCATGACGTCGAATCTCCCACGCCTCAACGTGCGCCTGGGCACAAGTCGGCAACCTGTCTATAGCACAAGCCTCACGCCAAGTGTCTCTGCTATCTCCTCGCCCTCCCCTGCCTTAGCACGCAGCACGCATCCCGGAGCGTGTTGACACGGAGTTCGACAAGCAGATTGGAAGCGCAAACATGGCGCGACAACAATCGCAAAGAGGTGTGCCAACGCCTTTGGAACCAATACGCTCCGTGATCATACCAGCCCCTTTGAACACGGGCGATTCCAAACGGGCGTACCTGCGCCGAGAGTTTAGATAAAGAACGAATCCCTTTGGGGGCTTTGCTTTTGCCCAGATGCACGGAACGCCAGGGGGAGACGCATGAAAGGACTCGAGGAACATCGAGCCCCTTGCGAAACTAAAGTGGACCTTGTCACAAAATGTGTACTGCCGAGGGAGGTGAGGGGAAGACATGCGCCGAGGAAGAGCGGGGGAACGACGAGGAGGGGGAAGGAGGAGGAGGATGAGAGGGTCGAAGATCCAGGCTCCTGGGCGTGTTGGCCGATGTTGAAAGCTCTGATGGGGCTCCTCGGCGCCGCGGCTGGATTCCCCTCGACTCTGTGCTCGGAGCGCGCCCCACAGGGGAGGGGGCAGCTGGTGAGGGAAACGGGAGAGGGACCCTTGAGGCGCTTCTAGGACGAGAAAAATCTATTGTCACCAGGGCTGAACCTAAACGGTGATTCTTCGTTTTCGTTTTGTGTTCGTTTTCCCTCGTTTTCTCTTCAACCCGCCTTCAACGCAAAACGAAACCGAAACGAAAACGGCCCACGAAATCGCCCAAACACCGTTTAGGTCCACCCCTGATTGACACAATTTGTTCCTGATACGTTGTTATTGAATATTGCTTGAACCCGCACGGCGACGACGACGAGCACGAGGCCCTGGAGGCGCAGGACGGAGGAGGCGAGCGCAGGAGAGCGCCCCCGAGCCTCTGCCCTCACGCTGCTGGCGCGGGCGGAGCAGGAGTGGCGTCCGCTGGCCCCGGGAGGCCTGATCGCGGGACATGCGAGGCGGGGATGTCTCCATATCCACCGCCTGGAATCCGACGTCCTGGTGCCTCAACGGGCGGTGGACATGGATATATTTCGGCCCCCGGGGGCCCGAATATGTCCGTATCCACCGCCTGCCGAGGCTCCGAAAACTGACCCTCCAGGCGGTGGTCATGTATAAATCCCCGCCTGGGTAGACATGGCCTCAAACTCCTATTCAGGCAGGGCCCGACTTGAACGGGGTGGTTTGGCGATTCCGTAGACTGTTCTCGGCTTGTTGTCCTTTCGCAGCAAGGGCGGATGGGAAGCAGAGCGGAGGAGCATGAAACAGCAAGAAAACGGAACACGCTCTGAGGTCGAGCCCTGGATTGAGGATCCGGCAGCCAAGCTCACCGCATTGACCACACCCGCCGGCAACAGCAAGCTGCATCCACACCTGCGGCCATTTCGGGCACCACCGTCGATCCTTTACAACATTCTCGCGACGGCCGCTAAAGATGCTTCAGGGCTCCGCCCCGGGAAGCCTAATGTGCTACGGCACCGCGACGTTCTGTAGCCGCTGGGCAGGCATCTGTAGTAGTACTGCTAGCAATGCGAAGGCGCCAGCTGTGCCCCCCATGCCGATCTTAAAACAGGGCTAGGATCGGGATAAATCGCTCCAGAGCGTTCTGGAGCGCTCTCAGAGCGTTCTGGAACGCTCTGGAGCGGCCGCGGCGCCCAATACATCCTCCAAACCCGCCGACTCTCAGAGATTTCGAGTTATCCCGATCCGATGTTGTCCCGATCTTCGCGCCGTTTTAGTGCCCCCATGCCGATCCTGGGAAGCCCGAGCTCGGAGCCCAGGAGCGGACCGGGCTGGCCGCGATCGGCGCGTGTGCAGAGCTGGCGCCCTCCGAGGTATTCGCGCGCAGCCCACTGAGGGCCGCGGGGGGGGCGGCGGCGCACTGCTGTACACGCGCTGGGCGCCCGGAGCGAGCCGACGCGCTCGCAGAGTCGGCAGGCCGAGCGGCAGGGGCCGCCTGCGCTGTCGCCGACACGCGCGGGATGCGCAGGGAGGAACAACGGGAAGAGGAGGAGGAGGAGGAGGGGGAGGGGGAGGAGGAGGGGGAGGAGGAGGGGGGGAGGAGGAGGAGGAGGAGGAGGAGGAGGAGGAGGAGGAGGAGGAGGAGGAGGAGGAGGGGAGGGGGAAGAGGAGGAGGAGGGGGAGGAGCGCACCCGGGGAGCGGCTCCCTTCCAGGAAGGCGCGGGCTGGCTGTCTTCGGTGAGCAAAGCTCGCATGAGCATGCACGTCGTTAATTTCTCATCGTGCTCGCTTCTGATTGTGCTCGCTCCTAACTGCTCATGGCCCCCGAGTGGCGAGGAAGAGGCCCAGGATAGAAGAACCAGAAATGAAATGATCCTGGCCCCCCAAACAATCCAAGAACTTCCGAAGAATCAGAAATGAACCAGGTGCAACCTTTCGGAGCTCCGCGCTGAAGCCCTGTATCGGCGATGCATCTCCACGCCCGGGGCGCGGAGCCGCGCCTGGAACGGCGCCGGAGGCGCTGCCCGGGGGGACTCCGGCGCAGGTCCAGGAGATCCGCGCGGACCCCAGGAGTGTGCACGACTACGAATTGTTTGCTGCTGTTCCTCGAGGCCCGGCGTCTGCCGTCCCGTGAGCCTCCCACGGAGGCAGCCAGAATGCCCACGAGAGGTGGAGCAGGAAGGGCCCCGTGAGCGTCGAAACTCCGTCGTCGCCCGATGCTGCAAAACCGCAACCGCTGGAGGCCATCCCTTGACAAACCTCGATGATAGACCCTCCTTTGGCGCTCAGACGCCGGACGCCCCTCTTTTATCTCGCGCCTCAATCTGCTAGACCGTCTCCTGTCGGGGGCGCCGTACTACTCCGTGTCCTCTTGGATAGTTCAGATGGTGTTCATTGCGATGGTGATGACAATGACGGCGGTGGCATCGGATAGAAGAAGCACATCGTGATCGGCATGACGGCACTCGCGGGTATGATATAGCAATGATGGATACATGACAGTGGTGACTTGGTGGATAGGTTGCTAAGAATTCAGCTTGGGCCAGCACGCTCTAGAATTGAATGATTGTGCTGGCTGGGGGTTAGCAGTTGATTGTAGAAAATGTGCGGGTATTAGAGAGTTCCCTTTTCGAGCGTAATAAACATGATTGGGGGCGCTGAGGATGTATGACAAGTTTGTGGACAGTTACAGCTAGTATCCATGGCCATGGGCCGATCAGGGGTCGCAGCATCGGCACGACCACAATGATGGCGACGACGGCGATGACGCCTACAATGATGCAACGTGCAGTGTGTTCCATGAAATGCGCGCCGATCAACACCCATGCTCTCTATATACATGTAGCATGAATACAGAATTCTTGCCCACTAAACCAGACACCCCCCTGCTTCGGTTGCAGTAAGCCCGTAAAATGATACGGGCCTCCTGGCCCTCTGCTGACTGGCAAATGCCAAAGCCCCCGCAGTTGCGGATAAACATGAGGGGGGTGGAAATCGTCGGCACCCTGCGAGGCTTCAAAACAAGTGTGAAGAATCCATCTCGTTCGCTTTGCGAAACAGCGTTTTTGGGTCGCGTGTGGGTCGTAGGTGGGTCGCGGGCGGTCGCGGATGGGTCGCCGAACGAATCGCGGGTGGCGGGTGGGTCGCGGGTAATTTGTGGGGCGGGGCACGGGCGGGGCGCGGGGCGAGGCCGGCAAACAAGAAACGCACCGCGGAACACACACTTCAGCCACGCACCCAATGAACAATGCAAGACCACTCGGCCCCTCACCCTGATCTGCAGGAACCGGAACCTGGGAACCCAGAGGAGGAACCCCGCAAGCAAAGATCCCCCAGAAGCCGCCGCCCACCGATGCGGCGGCCCATGTTCGCAATATCGTTCCAGTGTCCGCGAGGATCCCCTTCATTGAAAGCGCTGATCGGGTAACTGTGCGTGCTGTGGGTGTCGTGCAAGAAGAGCGCAGCTCCAAAGCTCGGCGGGGCCCGTCACGGGCCCCTGCCAAGATCCCATTAGGATGAAGGTGGCAGTGAACTCGGGAATTCGCCTAAGATATTCAACATAAGGACTTTTAGGGTGCATCTCGGCTCCTAGGCGAACAGAGTGCTCGGCAGTACCGATGGCCTTGGCACAACAGAACTTGGAACGCATCTGCACGCAAGCGCTGAGCATCACTTGTACTCGAGGGCGTCCATTCCACCGAAGTTGATCCTGCTCCTCACTCGTCGACGAGCCTCCAGACCTCACCTCAAAACTCGCCCAGCACGTTCGTAGCTGTGGCGTCCCGTGGAGGGACAAGGAAGGGAGGAGACGGAGAGGAGGGATGAGGGGGAATAGGCTCATATGGGGCACTCCAGAAACCCTGTCGAGATAGCCTCGTGCCGTCTAGCCTCGTGCTGGTGCGACAATCATGACGGAGGAATCTGGGTTGGGCCACGACGCGCAAAGGAGGAGGGGGAAGAGGGGGGAGAGCGGAGGAGAGGAACCGAAGGAGAAGAAGGAGGAGGAGGGGGGAGAAGGAAGAAGGAGAGGGCGGGCGTACACTTTCTGCTCCCTGACGCGCGCGTTGTGGCCCGTCTGTGTGAGCCTAGAAGAGAGCACACAAACACCGAAAGAAAACTGAGCCACCGCCAGAATTTGTCTATCCACCGCATCGGCGTCGTGCACCCAGATCCCGAAGACCTGCCGAGGAGTGATACGACACGGGTATCCGCTCGACCCTCAGGGCAAGGTATCTGAGATGTCCACCGTTCCCTGGGGATCCATGGCACGACGCTGGCAAATGTGGCCGACTCCAGAAACCCTGGATCATAAACAAGAAGCTTGTTTCAGCCACTTGCAAGAGTGACCCTGGGCAAGAGTGACCTTTGGTGCGCGGCCCAAAGGTGGGGCTTTCGGGGACACCACCGGTCGCGCAAGCCACTGCTATAACATCGCGTTCAGCGATCGGGGGGCCCCATTGGGCCAACACCAGAAGTCACTCTGGCGAAATGTAACTCTCACGTGTAGCCGATTGTTTCCACCGCCATACGCCGACCTTCCGCCGGTGGACCCTCTGCCAGCTTCCGCCAGCCTCCTGCCGAGGGCGAGGCCGCCCCCTGAGATCCGAGGTTGCGACAAAAGGACAATATCGCCAGAAATCACGACTGGAGCCCTGGGCCCAATCGTTCTGCGGCATTTCTCGAGCCGTATCGAGCTGTGATGGCCCCGGGGCCCGAACCCTGGCGCAAACACCCGTAGTGAGAAACTTGCAACGCCTGGGTCGCAGGGGCTTCTGGAGCGCAGGACGTCTCCTGGCAGTGCACTGTGGCATCCTAAACGGTCGCCGAGAACTGCTCTGGCGCCGCACGGCCCGCAACGACGCAGCCGCGCTCTGCGCGAGGCCAGACGGCTTGAAACAGCCCCCCCCCTGCGGACACTCGCGTGCAGCCGCCGCTCGGCGCCGGGGGGAGGGTGAGGGTCACTAGTGACCCCCATGTGGCTCTACGCCGGGGGCACGCCACGAGGGCCCCCACCCCTGGCTGGCACCGAAGCCGCAGCCAGGCACGGAGGACACGTGGGTCTCCGTCCAGCAGTTCCTCGGCCGCCCGTGGGCCTCTGTTAGGCTCGGGCGGGGCCCACTCCCGTGCCCCTGGGTCGAGGGGTCACTGGGGTGCACGACCGGGCGGGCGGCGGGCGCGGGCTCAGAAGGCTGAGCCCCGCATTCGCCACAAGGTGACGGCTGGTGGACCACCTCGCCGTCGGCATAGAGCTCCAATTCGCAACACTCTCAAGAGACCTGTAGAGCTGTCGATCAACTCGAACTTTGACTAAATGCTTCCGCTGGTATGCCAGGACCTGAGGTCGCTGACTGTGGCATCTGGGAAAACTGCAGCCACCTGACTACCAGCGACTGCCATACCGACAAATTCGAGAAGGTCCTCCCTCTGTGCATCAGGATGTTCATTCTCCGGGGGAGGGGGAGAGATATGGGAGGGAAGGGGGAAGGGAAGGGGAGGGGAGGGGAGGGGAGGGGAGGAAGGGAAGGGGGGAAAGCGGGGTGAGTGGGGAAACCAAAAGGTACCGATACCGCTACTCTCCAGACCTCTCCTGGGGCGCGTTCTGACCAGGACTTCGAGGCGCATCCAGCGGTGGCGACGAGGACTCCCCAGGAGGCCCAAGAAGGGGAAAACGAGAGAGGGGGGTAGAGGTATGGGTACCTCTTCCTCCTCTAAGGGAAGGGGGAAAAATGCACACGTCCGAGCGATGCCAGGAAGCGGGGTGAGGGGCATCGGGGACGACGAGACGAGCGCCGGAGCCACGCGCGGTCGGCACGGCATGGGGGCACCGGGGGTCGACAGGGCGGGGCTCGGAGGCAGCCGTCGCTGGGCGCTCACGGAGGCAGCCGTCGCGCACATCGGTCCCCTTTAGTCGGGGATGGACAGACCCCCCTTTAGTAAAACGTGGTTTAGTGAAAACGACCTGAGGCCCAAACCTGGCGGGCGCAAGCCTGGAAAATAACGGCCGCGGCGCCCTCTCGAGAACCGAAAACGGACAATTCACTAATCGACGTGTCACTGTTGGGGGTTCTGTCCACCCCCGATTTAACCTTGTGGATGCCACCACGACCTTAGTGGGCCCTGGAGACGACAAGGCCGTTTTTCTACCGGTTCTGTTCTGCCGTTTATCTGCCAGTTCCGACGCCGTTTTTGTTGCCGGTTCCGTCGCCGTTCATTATTTTACGGGTTCCCGCTCCGGTTCCAATCCTGGAGCCGTTTTGTTGCCCTTTCTGGTCGCCGTTTTTTTGCCGTTTCCATTTTCAAGGGACACTTTGTCGGAAACGGTGTAAACAAACGGCCCTGCCGTTTCCGGGGCCCACTAGGGCCACGACAGTGGACACCCTAACAGTCCTATCATTGAATCTAAAATGTGTCTAAAATGTAGGAGCATAATTTTCTCAGCATGACATGTTTGTTACATGTTTAAAACATGGTTCACACATGTTGCAGGCATCTGGAAATTATTTGGCAACATGCTTCCTCTCCATTGATCATCCTCCACAACCTTAGCCAGCTTCGCCGGATGCGTCTCCTCTTCGTCAGCACAAGCTTAGAATGCTGCCGCGCCAGCGCCGACTTCGCTCGCTGCAGGTCTTGCTGCGCGCGTAAGGGAGAAGTGCTCACGCGGGGTAACTGAAGAACGGGAGGGGGAGTGGGAGGGATGGCGATGTCGGAGAGGTAGGGGTGGGGGGTGGGGGGGGGGTGATGAAAAGGAAAGGGGGGAGGGGAGGGAGGGTAAGAACGCCAGATCCTACATTTAACATCTCCCCCCAACCTTCTTCTTTACATTGAATACGTACGCATTCCATCTGCCAAGCGGTATCCTAGAAGACCCTAATTCCAAAATGAAAAGCGCAGGGCGTGAGGCGTCGTTTGCTGCAACGGCGGCGATGGTAGCCTCTGCGGAGGAGCATCAGCAATGCCAGGGTGAGGTGGATGTGGGAAACGAGGGGGACGGCAACGATAAGGAAATACTCAGACCCAGAACTGCGGCCCACGCTGGGGCGAGATCACCGTTCCGAATGACGAGAGCAGCCGATCCTGAACTGCTTTGGACGAGCGAAGTGGGTACGGACATATGGGTACGATGCCCAACAGCAAATGTGGTCCAAAATCGACAACGGCCGCTGTTGGGCAAACGGTGTGTTGGCTCAAATGGATTACATCCGCGGCGACGCCGACAGCAAACCCTGTCTGTTCACAGTGGACAAAAACTGCCGTCGATCTTCGTAAACAATTTTTTCCGTACCCATTTCGATCGTGCCGGTGTATGTCTTCGGCTCTCGCCCAGGTCGCCCGCACCCGCTTGCGTCCAGCTCCGGGCGCGGGGTGGGGAAAAGGAGGACGAGGAGCGGGAGAACGAGAAGAACGAGGAGGGCGAGGATGGGGAGGAAAGCGCCCCCAGGCCGGAGCCAGGGGATGCGGAGGGGGAAAGAGGGGGTGGGGGGACGGAGGAGGAAACGATCCGCACAGGGCAGAGCCCACTGGCGGTGGCGTGGGCCAGCTTGCCGCTGCGGGCGAGCTGCTTCTGCGTCTAGCGGCCAGGCGGCGGGCGCCCGCATCGCCCGCTGCTCCCGGCTCGGGGCCCAGAGGAAAGTCCGCATACCAATACCCAATCAGCCCTCTGGGCGCAGTGGTTCGGGGAGTCAACTTCTCCCAGCGTGTCCCCGCCCCACCCCTCCATCGCAGCATGATCCCTCATGTGCGGGCAATGTCTTTATCCACATCCAGTGCGTCTTGGAGGACGCTCTTCCCGAGAAACATGAGGCGCACTGGATATGGATTATAATCTGCATCCAAAAGGCTAAATTTTTATCCATATCCAGTGCGCCTCGGCCTTGCGGCGCCCCTTCCAAGAAAGTCCAAGACGCACTGGATATGGATATAAATATTGCCCGCATCATGGGCCCAGGCCGCAAGGAGAGGGTTTCTGAATGTCGTTCGGGCTTGGTTCGTTGTCGACATGAAGCCTGCTGGATGCCTCTTGCGTTGTCTTGGAAGGCCTTCTGGGGGCCTCTCGAAGACCTCACGGGCACTTCGTGGAGGGCTTTTACGCTTGCAGAGTGCCTTCTGGGAGTCTGCGTGGGGTCTGTGGTGATTATTTCGCGCCATCTTGCTGCCAACCACGATTTCCCTCGCCGACCTTCTCACGAATTGAAAACGTTGGGGGGCCTCTTGAGTCCTCTAGGGCTGCACTGGGAGGACCGTACGTATTGGGGCTCTTGTGGGTTGCCGTGATGCGAGCTTGGGCAGGGCGAAGCCCGAAACAGCGAGGTGTTGCAAGCATCATCCCACAACATTTGGCAGTCCAATGATGTTTGCATCTTCTGGGACGGCTGGGGTCCTTTCGGGGCCGTCTTGGATGCGTATAGGGGCCATCTTGGGGCCCGTTTCGCAAATGTTAGGACCATTTTGGGCCGACATGGTACCGTCCTGTAGTGCCTTGCTTTTCCCTGCCCTGTTTCGGAGACAAGCTGGGACTGTCTTCGAGGCGATCTTGAACTGTATTCGACCGCTGGCACGCACATGCCATGACCGCGCGTCGGACGCAGAGGTTGGCCTCTTGACTGAGCTAGCTGACGTCGTCCCCCTGTCTCTAGACAGGAGGGGCCGCGTTGGACACTGTTTGGGGCACGCCGTGGGGCCTGAGGACCGTTTCTGGATGCTGGTGGGGCTTGGCGAAGCGTCAAGAATTCCTTCATCCCGTGCCCGAATCTCGTCCAATTCCTCGTGCTACCTTTGCTTGGAAGGATGAGGGTGCGCGATTGATCATACCAACAGGGCAATGCGGACTAGCCTCTGGGCCCGAGAGATGCAACTATCATGAGGACATGCCACCTAGAAAAACAAGACCCGTCGGGGAATGGCCCCTGGAAGAATGAATAAGCCAATGGAACTAGATGGCGGTACGCGTAGATGGCCCTCGCTGCGAACCAAATTCCCCACCCCGGCCGTCGTATGCCTGCATCCCTCCTCCCCCTCCTCCTCCTCCTCCTCCTCCTCCTCCTCTTCCTCCTCCTCTTCCTCTTCCTCCTCCTCCTCCTCCTCCTCCTCCTCCTCCCTCTCCTCCGTTACAATTACACATTCTGAATCTGACTCCTCTCCCCCGGGTTCTGCCTGAACATGTCCGACCCTCTCCCCTCATTGTTTCCCATCTATCCTGGGCCCTCGTTTTGACAAGGCAGCGCTCCTCGTTTTGAACAGACACCCCTCACACGCCTCGTGGCCCCGTAGGGAGCTCCTCCGACGGCGGCAGGGTCCGCATGGCGACCCCTGGCCATCTCGGCACGCCCCTCGCACGTTTCGTGGCCCCATGGGGAGCTCCACCGAAGGACCAAGAGGCAGCGCCCGCATGGCGGCACCGCTCCGTTTTGTCGCACCGCTCACACCTTTCGTGGCCCCGTTGGAAGCTCCACCAGCAGCGCCAGGGCATTTCGACAAACCCATCACACACACATACACACACACACATTTTGCAGCCGAAGCCGCCAGGAAGGGGGGGTCGCTGGCGGTTCTGAACCATCTTGCCACAATCCTCACACGCCTCGTGCCCCCCCCGCAAGTCTCACTCGAAAGTTCGCGCGGCAGCGCCGTCTCCATTTCGCCATACCCCTCACACGCTGCGTTGCCCCAGGGGGGGGCTCCACCGAAGGCCCTTGTGGCGTTCGCACGGCGGCCCCGCCTCCAATCAACACCGCCCACACGTTCCGTGGCCCCACAGGGAGCTCCACCGAAGGCACCCGGTGGCAGGGTTCGCATGGCTGCGCCGCCCCATGTCGGCACACCCTTCACTCGCTTCGTCGCTTTATGGAGAGCTCCGCTCAAAAGTTGCGTGGCCCCACAGGCAGCTCCATCCACGGCGCCAGAGCCAACGCCCGCGTGGAGGCACCGCCCAACGGCGCTGCCAACGCCCCCATTATGGCACACCGTTCGCTCACTGTTTGGCCCCATAGGGCGCTCCTCTTTCTTTGTCCCACCTGCCTTGCGGTACTCACGGCTGAGTATGGTTGATTCCTTAGCCTGAATGAGTAATGCTTGTGTTGCAGATCCAAGTGTTTGTGTTGCAGATCCAATTGTCATCGGTGTTTCAACATGGTGCTCCAGCTGCAGCGTGGCCCTTATCTTCGGATCGGTGCTTGGCTCTCGTCGTTCAGACTGGGCCTCTCGGCCAGGCGCGGGCCAATGTTCTGGCTCCGAGTCATTGTTTAGATTCGTAACCCTCCTCATTTCCCCTCCTCCGCCTTCCCTTGGTCTTGCTGATGCTCGCGCAACGTTCATTTCAGCTCGTGTTGCTGAGTATCGTCCTCGTCCTTATTCCTCCTGGTCCTTCCTCCTACTCCTCCTCCTCCTCCTCCTCCTCCTCCTCCTCCTGCTCCTTCTCCTCTTGCTTATCCTCCTGGTACTCCTCCTCCTC